CAAATATATGAAAAGATGCTCAACATCACTAGCTATTAGGGAAATGCAAATCAAAACCACAATGAGATACCATCTCACACTTGTTAGAATAGCTATAATCACCAGGACAAGTAATAAGAAATGTTGGAGAGGATGCAGAGAAATAGAAACCTGCATACCCTGCTGGTGGGACTGCAAATTGGTACAGCCACTATGGAAAGCAGTATGGAGGTTCCTCAAAAAAACTAAGAATTTACCTACCATATGATCCAGCTGTATCCCTCTACTGGGTTTCACCCCAAAGACTTGAAAACGCGTATCAGAAAAGATATTTGCACACCGATGTTCATAGCAGCATTATTCACAGTGGCCAGGACTTGGAAGCAACCAAGTGTCCTACGATAGATGATTAGCTAAAGAAGCTGTGGTACATATATACAATGGAATATTACTCAGCCATAAAAAGAGATGAAATACTGCCATTTGCGACAACATGGATGGAACTCGAGATAACCATGCTAAGTGAAATAAGCCAGACAGAAAAAGTTGAAGATCACATGATATCACTTATATGTGGGATATAAACCTAAAAACAACAAATGAACAAGACAAATAAACAGAGACTCATAGACATGGAATATAGGCTAGTGGTTACCAGAGGACTAGAGACTAGAGGTTATTAGTGGGGTCGGGGAGGAAGGGGGAGGTAGACGAGGTAAAGGGGGTCATATATAGGGTTTAGGGGGAGGGCAAAGTGGGTAAAGGGGATCAAATATATGGTAGCTGAAGGAAACAGGACTTTGGGTGGTAAACACACAATAGAGTATACAGATGTCAAATGATAATGTATGCCTGAAAATTATATAATTGTATTAACCAATGTTACCCCAATAAACTTAATTTAAAAAATAAAATAAAATAAAATAAAAAGAAAAGATTAATTTGAAATGCCTGCGAAGCATCCAGTAGGTACCAGATTGGTCTGCAGACCAGGAGGAAGTATGTGGAATGAGCAGAGAAAGGGGTCAAAGATAGGAACAGCCTCAATTCTTAAGAAATAAGCAGAGGAAGAAAAGCCAAAAAAAAAAAAAAAGAAAGAAAGAAAAGAAAAAAAGAAACAAGAGAAAGTGGTCAAAAAAGGAAAACGGAAACAAGGAGAATACCACAGAAGGAAAGTAAGAAACCTTTCAGTTTTCAGACTAGTAATAAACATTGCTAGTTCTGCGCACTGCCATAGCTATAAATACCACAGGTATAAATTAAAAACTACAACCTTAGAGACATTACAAAGCTCTGCATGAGAAAAAAGACACCACCAAAGATGTATTTTGCTTGCTAAAACTACAGTCTGTCAGCAAGTATGTAACATACAGTATGTTACAAAGATACAGTTTAGAGAAAAGGAAATACAGATAGTTTTTAAATATACAAATGATCAAGCTCACCATAATAAGAAAACTGTAAAATAAAACTAAATATAATATCATTTTTCACCTATCCAGAGATCAAAAAGTGAAATAGCATGCTGTGGCAAACATCAGCCCTCCACCATAAGACTACCAAGTCCCAGAGAGTGGCTGCCCTTCAGCCTGGTCTTGATATAAGACGACACATGGAACATACTGGAACCTGACCCACAACCTCTAATCAAACCCAGCCAACCCAAAGCCAATATGAAGGCCCATGAGCAATAAATAAATGTGTATTGTTGGAGGCCACTGAAATTTTAAGGCTGATTGTTAAGGAGCATTATCATAGCAAAAGCTAACAAATACACAGAGTTTGGGGAAAAAGGAATTTATACATTATTAGTGGGATATATTATTAGTGGGAACCACCACAAACTGTGTGTGACAGACATTGTTAGTTGCCTAACTAAAGTCTGTCTCTCATTGTCTCTATCATTGCAATCTCTCACCTTGCATGCTTCATAATCCTTCCGGATATAGTGGAGATGTATCAACCAGTTCTGCTTCTCCAAAATAGGGAACTCTGGAGCTGGGCAGCATGTTTTAACAAAACAAATAACACAGTCAGTTAGATTTTCTCCTTTATCACTGTCCTCATGTCTATACTAACCAGAAGCATATGGCAATATCATATTAAATTCTTTATTCCTGACCATAAAAATACAGGGCATCAGAAATGTACCGATTATTAAACTAAGAGATACTTATCCTACTATACACATTAAATATATGCTTCTTTCACTTTTTATAGCTTGTAATGTCAGTTTTTCGAATGATAACTTGGCCTAAAAAAAAAAAATCATTCTTTGTCTCTCCTCTTCTCTCTCTCTCCCCCTGGCTATAGAAAGTAATTATGAAAACTTTCTAAAGAATATTTCAGGAATGTTACTAACAAAAAATATATAACATAGTTAATGTCATATCTGATCAGAGGACAAAAATATTTTATATAGTTAAACACAGTTTTATCAATAGCTTGAATATGAATACTACTGCTTGGGAGTGAAAAAGAATCTACTTGAGTCATTAAAAATGATTCATGATACAGAAACCATAAAATGAGTTACTTGCTCTTTGAATTCAAAAGTTTAAAATATAGGTAAAAATTCACTAAGAAATTATTTGTCTATGGTAACAAGGAGAAGGATTCACACCAACCTCAAGATAGTGGTGATCTCAAGGAAGGGAGAGGGAAGAACAGGATCAGGAAAAGATAAAAAGGAGATATCATCTCTTTAATGCTTTACTTCTCAAAAAAATAAAGAACTCAAAAGTACACATGACTAAATGTTTTTATTTATTAAATCTTTCCAGTGAGTAGTACATGTGAGTCTGTATTTTTTAATGCACTTGAATACATGTTTAAGATATTCCCTAATTTTTAAAAATGTAAAAGAGAGGGTATAGCAGAGGAAGAGAGGAAAATGATTTGTAATCATTTGCAGCCATTCTGTTCCAGAACCTTAGAAGATACATTAATAGAAAACCTAAAACTTATATGTCCATAATATGACAGGAAGGAAAAAAAGTTTACTGTGACCTAGGGTCATTGTGTTGCTGGAACACAAAAATTAAGTAGTGATGCTGCTTACTCCTTTCCAAGAATAGGGACTATTAATGGCACTTGTAAAATGAAATCATGGATATGATTTTATATGCCAAAAAAAAAAGATAAAATTTTAAGCAACTGACTGTCTTCCAATTACACACATTCTCTGAGTGAGACCACCCTTCTTCTAGTCGACAAGGGCATATTTGAGATTGTTCAATGACTTTTGTCTTTCTTCTCTTATACAGCAAGTCCTATCAATCACCAGATCTTAGCCATTAATGTTCTCTGTCTAGCCACTTCCAGAATTAAATTCCTACTAAAGGCTATACAAATAACCAAGTTTAAAGACAGGGGTATGTGTGTGAGTGTAAAGTTGGTCAAGAAATACACTGTAGTGAACAGTTCTGGGACCAGTGGCTTACCAAGTAATCTCGGACCAAGAGTAAAAGAGGAGACACTGAACCCTTTTAGTTTACTATATCACTAAGTATCATTGCTTCTATAGCCCAAAAGATAAATTTATAAAATGCAAACTGGAGTCTTGCCTATTATTAAAATCCTACAATAAAAGATGAGGTTTGTTTTTTGTTTGTTTGTTTTAATGTTCCCTGGGTGAAATCTGGAGGGAAAAAATGTTCAATTTGTACAGTAGCTCAAGAACCCAGAAACTCAAGAAGTAGAGCCCTAGGGATTAGAAAAAGGGAAGGTACCACCAAATCTAAGTGCTTAAAGGTCATTTTATATGCCTGGAGATAAAGTTTCTCTAAAAGCTAAAAGAACTTTAGCTTAATGAAAGACTTTAGAAATCATTTCAGTGCTCCATAACTGTCCTTTATACTAACTTTGTGATCATGGAAAATTTACAGTTTCCTCATCTATAAAAGACTCATTTATTCATTCAACAAATATTCACTGAGAACCTACCATGTGCTAGGCACTGTTGTTGGCACTGGGGATACAAAAACATACAAAACTGACTCTCTCTTTCAGGAACATTATAATTGGTTGCAGGGTGGTGAACAGGTAGGTCAGAGAGTGCTAGCAGAAGGGGTAGATGATAATAAAATAAGTTTTATGTATGTATGAGTGATATTTTTCTGTGGATAAAAATAAATCAGGGAAGAGGGACAGGGCACTCAAAGCAGAGGATTACACTTCTAAATAGGAGTGCCGGTGAATAAAATACTCATCCTCACAAAGTTGTGAAGATTAGATGACTATATATAGGGAGAGGATGAAGGAGAGGAAGAGGCAGAGGGAGATTAATTCAAATAGTGTCTAGTACATACTAAGCTCTAAAGAAGTGTTAGCTGTTGTTGCTGTTATTTTTATTATCATTATTATTGGTTATTTTCAAAGATGAGGGAATTCTGGATAACTCATAAATCCCTAGCGTCTATGAATCCTGAATTTATGGTTAGAATTTTACCTGCAAATATGTAACTTGAATTTCTTGTATTCCAAATCATTGCTCACTCCAATTCCCCCAACAAACAGGAATACTGGTGATTACATGCCTTTACTAGTATTATGAGAATTACCTATTTGAAAGATCCTCTAAAAAAGGCATGTAACTGCAAAGTGGAGCCTCCTCTATTTCACAGCAGAGCCAGGTGGTCATCTCCAATGTTACACTTTAGGAACCTATATGATCATGGAGGTCAGGTGGCCAGCTGATGAGATGAAGACAAGGTAAAGCCTATCAGCAGGTCTTAAAAAAAAGACCTTGTTCCCACACTGCCCCACCCTCCACAACTGATGAAAACAAGGTGAAGCCTTTTGGCTGGTTGTAAAAAGACCTCGTTCATATATCCAGCTCCCATACTGCTCCTCCACCATCACCAAGGCAGTGGGGGTGGAAGGCTGGTAACCTGGCAACAATACTCCCTTGGCCCTTCTCTTCCCCTGTCTCCATTCTACTCTTCTGTGACATCTCTTTCTTTTCCCCTTTAAGGATATACCGGACTTCTATCTTAAACAATTCTATAACTGAATAAACATGATACCACAAGAATTCTTCTCCCCTATAATTTGCCTAATTCTCTCAGGAATAGCCTGAACTCAAAACTTGACATTAAACTTTGATTAATGCTAGGGAATATCATCCTGGAAATATGAAGGCTCAGAAGAAAATTATTGTGCTTTAAATTTTTAGTTGACAGTTTTTCTAAAATGACAACAGCTTTTGTAAGTACATTATAAATGAACCCTTCCTTGGCAAAGGATCTCTTCCATGGCTAGCAGACACGCAGCACATAGAACTGTTATATGTAGAATTCTAATCTTGATTCAGTACCAGCCTTCTATGGGATCTAGAGCAAGTTACTTAAATTCTCTGAGCCTCCATTTTTCCCCCTATAATTTTCACTGGAAAATTATTTAAAAATCTGAAATGGTCATTCAATAAATGTTAATTTCCTAATGTTATAATAGGAATTATAACACTCTTTTACTTCTGCATATTATGTGGGACATCAAAGGACATAACAAATCTTGAAAAAATGTAAATGTAAGACATTTTTTATTACTGTCAATTTGATCTCTGTATGAGTCAGGGTCTAATGAAGAAACATGGAAATCTCTTGAGGATTTAAAACAGAGGGACTTCAATGCAGTGAGCAATGACAGAAGAAATAAGAGGCCCAACCGGGAACAGTGAGACAAATCAGAGGTTAGTGAGCATGGGAGCAAAAAGCCAGTATTACCTCTAGGCCTCAGGGAGAAAAAGTGTTGCTACCAGTATCCAAGGCTGAAGTTGCCTGGAGGAACCTGAAAACTAAGATGGTCTAACTGGCAGAAGCAACAGAAGAGATGCTTCCGAAGGCCACCCCACTCCAACTTCCCCAAGCAGAAAGAAAGAGGGGAAAGCCTTCTTTTGCCTTCCTACTGCCAGTTCCTCCTACTTGCTAATCCAGGCAGAAACTGCCGACACAGGAGCCTGGGAAAGAACAAAGCCCACAAGGGTCAGCTCCTCACAACACAGAGAAGGGAAGGGTGAGGAATGGATCAGAAGGCCAACAGGCCCAGATTCAGCAGAACCATCAACTTTGTTCAGGAACATAAATGATGATGGAGGAGGAGACTGGACTGAATCAGTACTCACCCAGGGATACGTGCTAGAAGCTGGCTTTAAAAATATATATATTATTGAATTGCTTGCTATCCGACCTGTTTCTCATGAGCTTAAAATAGGATGAGTAAGAAAAAGTCATATAAAAGACTGATTATGGTTTTATTATATATCCTACATTATTTAAAATTATTTTACTTTCTCAAATCAGAACTTATTAATTACATACTATTGTTTTTTAGGAGTGCATGAGTGAGTATAGCTCTCTATATGTATTTTACATATTATTTTATTTATGTTTATATTTTTTACTTATACATTGTATAAATATGTGACTTATTTATACATATATATTTGATATACATATATATCAAAGTGTTTTCTCTCCTCTTATTCCACTGAATGTTCCCATGAGGCTAGTGAGCCATGCAATTCAGGGACTATCCCACATTATGAATGAGGAAATTAAGACTCCGGAGGTTCAGTGATTTGCCTACATCTAATTAATGAGAGAGGAAGGACTATAACCCAGGTTTCCAAGGTTACTCATTAAATTACACCAAGTTTCTGACCAGTTGTAAAGGAGTTTCTAATTTCAAAACTGAGGAGTTTGGGCTGTCAACTAGACATAACTTAGTAACATAAAATTAACAATGATTTTAAATTTTTTCTATTATTCTAAAAAAAGCAAAACAAGACTTTTAATTTATTAAAATGGCAACATTTTCCAATTAAAAATCATAAGTAGTTAGGTTTTTAAAAATACATACTTATGGTAAAACAAAATTGAAAGGGCACAGCAAGTTTTAAGTAAAAGACCCACCTTCTCTATTCCTCCACTTCACTAGAGGTGAAGAGTTTCTTAAGTATTTTCTAAGGAATTTCTAGGAATGTATAAGCATAGGGA